CGCGCACCTTGAGCGCGTTGGCTGCTGGCTCCTCTCCGCAGCCGGGCAGAGCAGCTCGCAGCCTCCCAGCCTCTCTGCTTCCTCCGTGGACACTTGCTGCCACCTCGCGGGGCCGTGGGGTGGGGACCGCCATGCTGCCAGCAGCGCTGGGGTCTCCCTGGGGACACTGCAGGCAGGGACAGGCTGTCCCTGAGCCCGCCAGGGACAGAGCATCCCCCAGCAGAGCCCTCACCGGCAAACACATGCACCCACGGTGGTGCTTGCAGAGCTGCATCCCTGCAGCCGCAGGGGTTACACCACTGTTCCCCCCGCAGGGGCAAAGGGAGCCCCAGGCACCTCAGCAGCACAGGTGGTGGGAAACCCACAGTGATCTGGCTTGCAGAGATGCTTTGCACCGTGGTGGGGTGATGTGGCTGCCAGTGTATAACCCTGTGGGGCTGTGTCAGCTGGGGCACATCCCTCTCTGGGGAACTGCGTGCCCTGAATTGCTCATCAATGCCTGGTCGCTGACTCCCTGGTGGGCACAAAAGCTGAATAAGGATTTCATTCAACTGCCAAACCCTTTGGACAGTGAGATATGGTCACCACCCTACACAGTGACAGCAAATGAAAGCATGAGTCCTACCTCGGTCCCCTTCCTTCTCACCCCTCCCTCCAAACTTGCTTCCTAGGGCAGGTGCACTGGTCAGGGCTGACCAAGCCCACCACAGACCATTAACCTTTTTGTAGCTGGGATGGAAGTAACATAACCCACCCTGGTCATGAGTGCCATGTCCGGAGAACCATGACCAGCTTAGGCACTTTCAGAGATGCCTATGGTCGCCTGCATTGCTCTGGACTGGCTGACTCAGCAGCACAATGATATAATCATAGAATCATAGAATTGTCTATGTTGGAAAAGACCTTCGAGATCATCGAGTCCAACTGTTAACCTAGCGCTGCCAAGTCCACCACTAAACCATGTCCCTAAGAACCACATCTACCCATCTTTTAAATACCTCCAGGGATGGGGACTCAGCTGCCTCCCTGGGCAGCTGTTCTAGGCCTGTTCTAAGCTAGGACAAGGTAGAATAAGATAGGATAGGATAGGATAGGATAGGATAGGATAGGATAGGATAGGATAGGATAGGATAGGATGTAAGGTAGGGTAGGCAGGAGGTACCCAGGGAAGGGATCCTAACACTGGGCCAGCTGAGGTGCCACAGAGCAGGGTTACAAGAGGACCAGAGAGACAGCAGAGCCTCCTGGCTTATGGAGGTGGCCACAGGCATGATGGCATTAAGGTCCTGACATAACCTGACTGGGCAGCTCAGCTTTGCTGGGTGGGGAGGCTGATCCAGCCCTTTCCAGCTTGTGGTTTGACTTTTATCTTCCAGCTGGTGCATGCTGGTGGTCAGTTCATCATTCTTGCACTGCTGGTAGCTCTGCTGTTCACCAGAGCTCTGCACCCTGTCTGTGTTTGCTCCTCATGTCCTCACAGAGACCATGTCCGCTGCCATGGCAGTATGCCCTGGGCATGGAAGGTCTCCCTGCACCGTCAGTACCTGCTGCCCTCCTCTGTCCCTTCCCATGTTGACATGGTCTCTTTTGAAGGTGGATGGCTGCTGGGCTTGTGGCATTAATTGCCTAAAAAGTGGGACAGCTGTGTTTATTCAAATAGCAAACAAGATGGGTCCCAGGTCTGCTCTTTGGGGCACTCTTCCCTCTGGGCAGATCCCTCCTGGGTGGTCTCTGCCTTTTCCATCTCTCCTTAAGTTGTTTACACGCTGGTCTCATGGTTGGTGAGGCTCCATGTTCTCCAGTTGAACTGGTGGTTTCCCACGTGGCCCAAATGGCTTGTGTGGGAGCAGGAGAGCCCCTCTCCATCAGCTGTTAAAGATGAGGGACTCATCCAGGGTCAGGCTGCATGGTCCTGCTGTGTTCATCCTGGTCACTCCTCCATGCTGAGGGGAGCTCCTCTGTGCCTCCTCCAATGTCCAGCCCCATGTCCATGCTTCTTCCTCACCCAATGCCCACCCATGCCCAGGACTAAGAAGGAGGTGGTGTTGGAGGCAGATGGTGAAGGTCTTTTCCAAGCAGCATCATTTCACTACAGCAAGAAGGGGAAAAAAGCATATTGCTTTTGGCTGTGATAGTGTCACAGAGCTCCCAACGAGCTCAGGCTCCCTTGGGCTCCTATTTGGGATCTCAGGCCCCAGACAGACATCCCTGGGTGGTCGCAAGGATACAGGACAACCAGCTGCAGGCATTCAAAGGAGACAGCGAAAGCAAATTGTGAATAAATCTGTTCCCCTCATCTTCTACAGGGCCAGAGTGAGGCATGGCTGACAGGAGACCAAACCTTCTGCCCCAGGCTCAGGGATGTATGTGGGCATGAAGGACCTGTCCACAGACACCCTTGACTCAAAGCAGTTTTGAGCAATGGTCGTGGGCTCCACGGGCCCCAACAAGTTCACCCTGGGATTTGTAAAACTGACAAAGAAACAGGCAGGAGTCAGGGCAGGACATGTTTCTGTTCAAATCCCAGCTCTGCCCCAAATGACATGAGAAAGTCCCTTAATCTGGGTTAAATAAATAAAATCAAGGCTTTTCCTTCCCGTTGCTCCATGGAAGAGAGCAGGGACCTGCTCAAGAGGTGCCTGGGCAGGGAGGAAAGGAAAGTTGCTCTGTTCCTGGTTGTCTGTTGTGCATCCTATCTGGAGTGGGACATGGGGTACCCCCACCCACTGTCCCCATAGCTCAACAACGGGAGCATATTTATGCTGCTACAAAAGCATCTGCCCTGCCACAGACGTTTCTGATGGGAGGGGATACCACTTTCCCATGGATGTGGAGCTGTTACAGGGTATGGCCAGGACAAGGAAGAAGTCACATGCTGGATGGAGACGTGCTCAGTAAAGCAGTGCTTCTGGGGAAGAGTGGGGAACAGATCTGCACATCCTTTCTGGTTCTTGCAGCAGTAGATGGTGCTGTTGTCCTGCCAGGATGGTGCTGGCATGTCTGGCTGTGCAGAGGCAGGTGAAATCCAAATCGACATCTCAGGAGCGCTGGGTCCATCCCAGGCCTCTGGCAGGGGAACCTGCACCCTTAAAAGCCTTTTCCAGACTCTCTTCCCCTCTCCCCAGTAATGCCACTCTCAAAACCTGCGATGCAGCTGGCAGGCATTGCTTGTACAGGGTTTAGCAGTATGCAGGGCTCTGTTGTGTGGGCTGAGCCCTGTGCTGCACCAGCATCCCCATCCCTACTGTCCCAGGACACAGCATCCCTCTCCCAGGTGTTTGTCTCACGGCAAATGGAGTTTGCATGGTCCAAAGAGTCACCAGGGAGCCCTGAACAAGCCTGGTGGCAGCCAGTGCCCCAGTTGCAATTCCTCTTCCTCCCCTGGGATGCAACTGAAACCTAACATCCAGCTGTGGCATGTACAGCAGCTGTAAGCATGTGCTCAGCACGGCTGGGACATTGATTTCCTGAGCGATGTCATGGCAGGTCATCGATTCCTGGCTGGAGCAGCTCTGCATTGGCACCTGCGGCATACCCAGGCTAAAAAGCTCTGTGGCTTCAGCACCTCTGAGTGGGGGTCCTGGTGCTGCAGGGCATGTGAAGCTGGGAGGCAGCCGCGAGCCCCTGTGCGGGTCTCCCGTCGTGGCACAGCTTGGCCCAGAGGTGGATGGAGGGTTTTGACCTGTTTTTTTTTCTTGGCTGTGGAGACAATATTGCAGAAATTATATTTTCCTGTTGGAAAATCCCAAATCTGAAAAGGCAGATGAAGCAAACCAGTGTTTTAAGTCAAGCTACAGTGGAAAACCTAAAAGGTTAATTAAAAAATTGGTTTCAAGACAGTAAAGGGACATTTTTCCATAAGCCTATTATATGGAAAAGGGACTAGTGGTCAAATGCAGTCTGTTAAGGATGTTCAGCTATTGTCATAGTAAAAGCCATGGGAGAGGGAGCTCAGATGGGTCAATGGTCTGTGTGGTGTTTTTGTTTCTCCAGTGGCGAACTTTCCCTGCGGTAAGGATTGGCAAAATCCAGGAGAAATCCCTGGTGTTGGTGGCTTGATGGCCCAGGCCAGGGCTGTGCCCATCGTTTTGAAGCTGCGTCTGTCCTGGATAAACACAACGAACAGTCTGTGCAAACAGGGCTGGACCCAAACAAGAGCCCATCTGCAGGCTGCCCACGTCTGCTCTGCTGGCTGCACGACACCGAGGCCAAATCCAGCATTGCCAGACTGCAGCTGGCATAAACCTGCATGCCCTGGTTTCATGTGATCACAGTGGCGCTGCGCTGATTTACATCGTTTGGACCCAAGCAAGCAAGCAAAGACACCAGACCCTGCCTGTGCTCCCTGCCAAGGCCAGGAGAGCCAGCACTGCCGTCCTCTGGGCAATGTTTCTGCTCATCACCAACTGCGTGATCAGAGGAGGGTGTGGGGAAGCTCATCATCAGCTTAATCTGCCAGTTTTAATCTGTATTTTAACAAATAATTGGTGCTGGGGGCTCCCTAAATGTTATTTGCCATTAAGGATTTGAAGAGAAAATATGAACAATTGGGCTTTTCTACTATCACTCCTCCCATACTGGGGTTTTATGTATGCTGTGCCCTGAAAACTGGTAAAATGAGGGAAAAGAAGATACAAGTGAAAAGAGCTGGGAAGCATGCTGGCCTGTGGTGCCCCTGGAGCCCCCGACCACTGAAAAGGGATGTCCAAGGGGATCTGCTTAATCTCCTGGAAAACAGAAAACTGAGCCTGAGTCCAATTTTCTGCTTGCTTCCCTGCTCCCAAAGTCCTGCCATGTCCAGATCCCCAGCCTTTGCAAGCCATCTTTATCAAGATCCGTTTTCCTGAAAATCCAGGGTGGGAAGCATTGGGGTTGAAGGGATCTGTGTGCAAACAATGGCCATGAAGCACCTTTAGGGAGGGTTTGCTGGAGTCACTGGCCTCCATGGCAATGTGGTGGAGATGCATGCAGATGCTGTTTTCACTTCTGAACCAGATGCAGGGTCTTGATCATAAAACCGTCGAATCACAGAATGGTTTTGGTTGGAAGGGACCTTAAAGATCATCTGGTTCCAACACCCCTCCCACGAGCAGGGACACCTTCCACCAGACCAGATTGTTCAAAGCCCTATCC